GCTGCCGGATTCAGCGGGCTGTTGGTGAGGAAACCTTTCCGCCCGTCTCTTTCTCACCATGCCCCCGACCAAAACGGCCCTTGGCAGCAAAGCGCCGAGAGATGCTTTTAACAAACACCTTCGGGGGAGGGGCTGGGCCCGAATTTGTTAAATTTGGTAGAGGAGAGCTTGTGGCAGCTGATTTATCGCGAGTTAAAAAGGTGAGGTCCGGCGGTTTTAAGCTTGGTCGCTCTGTTGCAGTATCCGCGGCGGGAAGGGTTGGTAAGGTAAATAGGTCCGTATTGCACAATTCGAGTTGGAGTGGAGCAGTTTAGGGGGAAAAAAAAAATAAAAAATAAAAATCTGGTGCTCTGAGAGGCTGTAATTGTCCGAGACAGCCATTGCGGAACACTTCTGAACGGGGCATAGATGCAAATTGACTTAAAATGAATTCTTTCTGTCGTTTCTCCCCCCTCCCCCATTGTCCCAAGTGAAGGGCTCTCATGAGAGTGTGGGCTGGGGGTAGGTCTGAAAACGTCAAATGATTGGCACCAATTGTAAGATGACTTTCTAACCACGTCAGTTTTTTTATCTTGCGAGAAGTAAACTTTCTCATGTCTGTTTTTCTGTGAACTAACTTCGCCACTTGCTGCAATTTAAACTCTTTGGAGAGGGTTTCGCTCCTGCAGTCGTCTTTCGGTTGCTTTCTATTTATACTTCTTTTGGGATCTGCGCTTAAGTGGCAGCTGATGGACTTTTGTAATGTTTTGCTCTTGATCGGTTAACTTTAACATCCCAGCTAGATTAAGGTATTTTCTTTTGCTTTCTCTGTGAAATGTTGAATGCTGGTAGTAGGGGTTGTGTGATATTTTGTGACATGAGTGTGTCGATTTAAACTGTTGAAGAGTCAAGTTTCTGCTATAATTATGCAGGTCTGTCTGTTTATCGGTCTGTATATATAAAATATACGGTCGGGGTGGACTGCTGAAAGTGAAATGTGTGTCAGGTCTGAAATGTGTCTGTAAAGAGTGCTTCTAGAGGAGTGTAGACATATGGCTACTGAGTTTGTTACTGCAAATGCGTCTTTAACTCTTTTGTCCCCAGCATAGTAACTGCACTGAACGTGGCTGTGTGAGTTTTCAGTAGGTACATTAATGCTGTTTCTACAGATGAGGCTTGCTCCGTTGTTTTGGAGCCTGATGTGTTTTAAAGTATATTATTATGAGGCTAATCGTGAGATTTCGTTTAAAATCTGGATTTTTGTCTTCAAGCTACCTCCAATCTTTAGTTTCTGTATTAGTCACACGTCTGGGGCAAACACGTAGGTATATTCCGTAGGGGATTGCAGTTCGATGTGTAGATCACGGGGTTCTCTTGTTTGTGTTAGCAAAGGAGCTAGATCCCTTCAGTAGTTTGATTGCTTGGAATAGAAGGGGAAGAGCCAGCAAAGATCATGCCAAGCAAGAGCACCAAAACTTCGACAGCAGCCCCTCGGAAAGGCAGAGAGCCCTTAGAGGAGTCCGTCAGTGACATGGAAGTGGAAAACGAAGGAGACAGGCAGCTTGGCCAAGTACCTCCGCAAGGTAGGTCTGAAAATTGTGGCTCTGGTGTGTAAGCTTGACGATAGTGCCTGTTTAGCAACACCGTTCAGTTGAATTTAGCAGTTGTTCCAGATAGGAATTCTCTTCTCTTCTCGAAAGGAGTATTGAAAACCTTGACTCCTGGCAAATTTACACTGTTTTTTTCTAAATGGTGAAGAGGGCTTGCAAAGAGTTAAAGTGTTTGGACCAGTGATTTAGTACAAGTGCAAAAGCAATTTGTAGACTTTCTCCTAATACACCCTATTTCATATTCTTCATTTGTAACATTGTACTGAAGATTGTGGGACAGCAGCAGAATTTTTCAAATTTATACGCAGCCAATGGTAGGGGATTTCTTGGAATGGAATAAATGTCAAGTTTATTTACTTAACTCTTAAATGATTTGACTTTCTTCTTCACAAAGCAGTGTATTTTCTGGAGTTGAGTTTTGGCTGATAACGTCTGGGGAGAAAAGCAGTGTGTGTCTCTTTAGGTAGCCAGATAAGTGATTATTAAAGCAAGGTATTTGACAGATAGATTAGTATGTTGAAATTGGTGACAAACGCTATTCTCTGTTGGAAGAAAAAGTCGCTGGTGGCTGTTGAAAAGCTGCTTTGCTTACAACTAGCTGATATCCAGGGGGCCAGTTTGTTTTCGTAACGAACTTCCTGTCTTTGCAGAGTGCTTGTGCTGTCATTACAGCTTTCAGAGCATTGTGCAGCGATCCCCAAATCTTGCAGAGTGACTTGTGAGCACGCCTGAAATGTGGCTTTGCGCTTATTAATTAGAAAGACTTTGCCTGTTTCGGATTTGTAGGCTTATTGTGACGGTTGTAGCTATTGTAATTGCAGAGTGCCTATTAAAGTGTGTTAGAATAAGAATTACATAATGAAAGAACAGACCCACGAGTGCATCGATGGGACGTCTTAAGTATCTGTTTTTAAAGATTCAGTTTGTGGAAAGACGAATTTTAATTCAGCTTAGCTTATTTTAGTAATTGTGGGCAAAAGTGTAAGTTTGGTTCATACAGAAGTGATGTTTGCTTTTCCAGTTGAACATTTTTAAAAGTGTCTAGTCATTGAGAGCTTTTTTTTTTTTCTATTTTGGATGATTTTTAGCAGCAGTCTCAACTGAGGTGGTAGATAATCGAAGTTTAGAAGAGATTTTGGGTAGCATCCCTCCTCCCCCACCTCCAGCAATGACCAACGAAGCTGGTGCTCCTCGTCTCATGATAACTCATATTGTAAACCAGAACTTCAAATCCTATGCAGGGGAGCAAATTTTGGGACCTTTTCATAAGGTATCTTTCTTTTATATTAAGCGTTTTCAAAATGAAGGTAAGACTTCACTGTGTGTTAGTATTTCTTCCTGTATTTTCATGTAAAGCTTACCTCAAAATAACAGAGAAATATTTAAGTTTTAGAATTACTTATGTAGTGATATTCTAAATTTTCAATATTGGGCAGTAGAGAAAAGTTAAATGCAACTTTCTGACATTGTACGATTTTAATTCGTCAGTAAACCTTCAAAAAGCACACTTTTCTCTTTATTTCGTTTGCTGGAGAACTTTAGGGGTGTGTTTGAAGAATGAGACTGTTTTTTAGTGCCCACAAGAGACTTACGTGGCTAATCATGAAACTTTCCTTGCAAACATGCTTGCTAAATGCAGTGTCGCTTTGAGTTAACAAGTTAAAATTTGGAAAGCCGAGTTGAGGTGTGGGGTTTTTTATTAAAGAAGTTGTACAGCTTTACCCTTGGCAGTAAAAACTAAGCTATCAAACAGTCTGCAGTTTCAGGCACTAGGAATAATTGTGTTTTAAACTGTTCACGTATGAAATGGGTGATGTACACTGGCCAAGATCTGCTTCCCTTTGAATATAATTTCTTTTCTTTTCTTTTTTTTTTCCTTCTATTATGCAGCGTTTTTCATGTATTATTGGGCCAAATGGCAGTGGAAAATCCAATGTCATTGATTCAATGCTTTTTGTGTTTGGGTATCGAGCACAGAAAATCAGATCCAAAAAACTCTCTGTGCTGATCCATAATTCTGATGAACATACGGACATCCAGAGCTGTTCTGTGGAAGTCCACTTCCAAAAGATCGTTGACAAGGTATGTATGCTGCTAATCAGAACAGTGGGACCTTTTTTTTTTTTCTTTAGGGAATTGAAAACTTCTAATATTTGGTTATTTTATTCTGAGCTGTGGAAAACTTTACAGCATAATTAGTTTACCTTCAGGATGTAAAACATTAATTCAAACTTAATTAGTTTAAAAATTCTTCTATTGAGTAGTGCAGTTCTTACAAAAAAAAAATCACTACTAATATTTTATTTTCTACAAGACGAATATCTGATACATGTCTGTTTTAAATCTATTTAGAAATATGTAATATTAATTTTCAGAAGTCGTTTTAGAGTTGTCATCTCATCTACCCCAAGAAAATAAAACATTTCTGAAATTAATAGGACCCCTGGAAATTTATAAGTCTGTTTGGACATGTTATATATTCTTATATTTGTAATATGAGCATATATATTAAGAAATAAAATCAATTTAGGCAAAACTTTTCAAACCAAATAGAAGCTATTTTAGGTTATCTAAATTTAGACAAATATAATGAATCTGAAACTTTCTTATTTACACTTTACATACTGTAAACATGCCTGCAATTTTAAAATGGATTTTTCATCAGAGCTTCTGGACCTCACATCCTACTACTAGATTTTTTTTTTTAACTTCATATTTTGTTTGGATAAAATAGAAAGTGTTGGCAAATAAGAAAAAAGACAGTAATTTTGCTTTGCACTTTGTGTATTGATAAAAGCTTCTGGGTATTTTTTCTGATTTGTTACAATTACAGTGCAAAGAATTTTTCTCTCACTTCATTTAAATTTACTTTTTGTGCACACATTTTATCTGAAGTATCAACTGTCGAGTTTTGGATCAGTTAGAATAGTGGGAAATGTACATTACTAGCATGCTTTTTGAATTGTCAAAGTGGCAACATATACAACCTTTGGAGAAACTGTTTTAAAAGACAGATTTATTTTTTTTTTGGTCTTTGACTTGATACACATACACATGTACCTTTTGCTTATATTTATAATGACCAGACCAAAAAAAAAATATATTTTTTTCCTACTTCTTGTTGACATCTAGGACGTAACTCTATGTTCTAAAAATCTTCTGCATATACTAAATAATACTTTGATTATACTCTTGGGGGTTAATCTGGGAAAGTGGCAGGCTTAACTTAAAGTCTTCACGAGAAGCATGTATCAATTTTTAACTTTTTAAAGGATTGGGCCAGCTTTATTTTAGTTGCTGCTTTGTAGGTAAGTGTAAGGTAGCTTTTGAAACTGATGATGTCATATTTGTCACATCTTTAATGTTTTGCTTTTTTATCTTCTACAGTTTCTCTTTAGAGCTACTCAGCTACAGTAGCTCCTTTTCCTAGTGCTATAAAAGAGGAGTTTAAAATGCCAACACTAGTTAAGTCATTCAAGACTTCCTTATCAAAAATTTGAAGCAGGCCTTTTGTGATTTGAAGCAGTGGCAAAGAGAGTAAATTAAGTATTTTCAAAGTAATAGCTTGTGTTAGAGATGGGAAAGGCATAATATGAAGGCCATTCAGTTAAAATTATTTGGGCTATTTTTTGTCCAGTTATCAAGTTGTGTCATTTTATTTATTTTTTTTTTCTTTTGAGATATGCAGCTTTAAGACAGTTTCCACTTCAGAGAGCAATTAACTTAAAACCTGAACATGATAAAATTTCTATGCTTAATTTTGAAATATGAAGTAAACCTATGATGTAGTAATTGGTTTTTCTGGCTTTGTTTTTCCTCAAAACAGGAAGGAGATGATTACGAAGTTATTCCTAACAGCAATTTTTGTGTATCTAGAACTGCCTATAGAGATAATTCCTCTGTCTACCACATCGATGGAAAGAAAAAGACATTCAAGGATGTTGGTATTCTTCTGCGAAGCCATGGGATTGATCTGGACCATAACAGGTTCTTAATTTTACAGGTTGGTGTACTAATAAGCACCACTTTTAAAGTGAATTTTTTGAAGTCAAGCCTTATTTTTACTTATGGTTATAAAAAAAAAATGCTCTCTAGGTTTTAAGCCTGGTATTGGAGGCCTTAAAGTACTCTAGCAGCACATCATGGTTTGCATGCTCTAACGAAGATGCGAATCATTATCTGCTGCTTTAGAAATTTAAGGAAGAGAAACAGTTGAAGATACTAATAGAAATTTCTTATGAACAAATTTGTGTTCCTGACATGTGGATGAATAGAAGAGTTATCATACTTGTTCCGCCCTAGCAGCACGTAAATATTGGTGTAGTAAAATAAACCTTAAACCCCAATATTATTGTGCTGCTTAAGCGTGGCAGAGATTCAGCAACTTGTTTATATTTTAGATAAAAGTGCATCAATATTAACTTAAGCCTTAAGGATTCTACTGTTAAGTGAACTTATCTGCGCTCTCATATGTAGATATGGTTTTACTGGAAAAGTGTGTATATAAAAACTAACTGCATAAAAATTGAGGGCAGGAAAAAAGCCGTGAGGGGTACATCTTGTTTACACTTGTTTAACAATTGTCAAGAGCTGAAAGAATGGCAGGTTTATAGCCAGTTCAAGCTATGGTTTTAAAAGCTACAGTCTACAACCCATACTGTAAAAATAATCATAGAATTTGTCAGTGTAATATCACTTGTTCTTCATGTTTGACCTTAAAATCAGGAGGCTTGCTGGCATCTGTTTGCTATTTAAAAGTCAGGCTGAAGAGAACCACACTAGTTTTTTCTCGTTTTGAAATAATAGTGGAGAATTTTTCCATGTGCCAAATGATTACTTAAAATGTAAATTGAGTTAAGGTACTCGATGGAAGTATTTAAATACTAATTCAATTGAATAACTGTATCTGCAATTACCTGTTATTATTTCACTACTATTACTAACAGATCCCAAATCTGCCCTGAACCATCAGGGCCTAGAAAATTAATGAACAGTGGGAGCCTCCCAAGGTCTGAAATTTTTCAGTAGAGTTTACTTTAGGCCTGCTCCTGTCAAAGGAGCTTCCAGTTCCCCAATAAAAGAAAAAAAAGTTCTAGATAGGTCGCTGTGCTTGCTTCACTTCCTCAAGCCTTTTTGTGCAGTCCTTTTTTACAGTTACACCCACAAAAAGAGGATATATCTGTTTCGAAGTCTCCGTGCCAATTAATTATTCCCTTTAACACTTTTTTCCTGTATTTGCTGTTTCAAGATGGAGTGAGAAGGACCTCAAACAAAACTGTAGTAAATTCACTCTTTTTTTTTTTTTCTTTTTTTCTACATCGTTGTTCTGAAATACCACTTTAGTAAAATTTCTAGAAGGGAGAGAATGCAGAATCAAAGATTAAGCCAGGTGGAAATTATGGTGCAGAGGTACCTAGTGTTGGAGAGCATGCCCTTTTACCGCTGGGAGGAGGGGAAGGGAACGTTTGGGGGAAGTATTGCTAAGCTTTTTTTATTTTTATTTTATTTTTTTTTCTCCTCAAATGTGATTTGTTTTCTTCTCCCATTAATTGTTCCCCAGGAAGTTGTCAATAAAGGCAATGTGGGTTTTCCTAAAAGCTTGAGTTTCATGCTTTCCACCTGCACAACAGGAAATTAGGGGGAGATGGTAACCAATATCAAAGCATAAAGAGAGGTTTCCCACTGTTATTCTTTCCTTTTATTCCACTAGGTTCTTTGTGGGTAATGTAATGAACTGCAGAGGAAACTGCACGGAGGTTTTCTGTGTTTCTTCAGTCGTTCTGACCGAGGCAGAGTCCTTTCTCTTTGCACATAAGGTCTTGCACCTTTTTAAAGTGAAATCTACTGATTTGGAGATTCAGAGTTTAGTATTTTCCAGCTGAGAAACATGGCAATATTTTTGCACATAATGACAGCAGAAATTCAAAACCCAAATGCTAAAAATTATAGTAAAAAGTGAGCCCATGTCAAAAGGATAAGGCTGTGAACTATTATTACAAAGATTGTCCTTCTTCCCTGATGTTTTTCAGATTAAATTATTGAAGGGATAAATAACAAGTTTATTTAGCTTTTACTTTCGTTATGCCTAAATTAAATTAGGCTACCTCAAGTTTAACTTGATATGAAGTTATTTCTCATTTAAAATAAGTTCTAAACCTCTTTAGTTTTGACTGTGTCAATGAGGTGTAATGAAAATATTTCACTTGCACTACAGATTTTGGGCAAAAATGCTAATCAGGTATTATCAAATGCTGATTTTGTGTGACAGAATATTCACTAGTTAGTACCGAAGAAAAAGTTGTAAGGGAACATGTCCTACACATAGTAACGAAACCTTTAGGTACCTGCTTATATCTTACTAGCATATTTAGCATTACTCAATGGAAAAGACTTGCTTTTTGAAAGACTGCATTATTTTTGTGGTTGCTTCTCCCGACTTCACCCCCGATTTTGCTGTCTTTCTGCTGTAGCAGATTTTGGTGCCTTTAAAGATAAAATTTGAAAGCTTAAGCCAGCCTGAATTTTGTAGAAGTTGGGTAGGGCACGATCCAGAGGTACTCCTACTGATGCTATACTGGTAATATTAAAATCAAGCCAGTGATGACTTCTGTGAGTAACGTTACAAAAAACACCCGTGGAAAAACGAAATGTGTCAGACTATTTCAGTAGTTCTAGAAGGATTACAAATTCTGTGCCTGAACTAGCTAACTGAAAAAAATCTTCTTTAAAAATTACAACGGGATATTGCCAACATTTAACAGGAGGAGCTTGTCACTTTTGTGATCCTTAAGTTCTAATGCTACATGCTTCATGTTTCTAATAAATTGCTATATGCCTGTAGTACTTCAGGAATAGACAAATGCTTAGTGCATTTTTATTGAGCTTGCCGCAGCCTGAAACTGCAACAGGAAAAAAAAGCATCTTGTCACTTAAAAAAAAAAAATTACGCTAAGCATTGTGGTAAAACCTAGCATCTTGCTGCTATTTTTCTGTCTTCCACACCTAACGCCCCAGCTTCAGTAACTCGTCTATGTGTCAAGAACAGCAAATAAAATTACTTAGCTCTTCTGAAAGACTTCCTTGGAACGTCCAGTGTACGTAGACAGAGGAGTTGTGTGGGTTCTGTGCTGTGTCCGTGCGGGATGAAGTTGGGGAGGTAAGTGTGTTTGCTGTTGCTCAAAGTGACTTCTCTGACCAGGTTAACCTTGAGGCCAGCACAAAACCTCGGCCTCTTTATCCTGGCTGGTTTGCCACGAAGGAATGGCTAAATGAGTGGGGAGCGCGGGAAGGCACGTCAGGTTTGGACATCCCAGGGTAGGCCTGTCGGGAGCAAAGCACACGGGCTGCAGGCAGTGGCTACTAGTGCCTGCTGAGATGGGCACTTAGAGCCTTTCAAGGTAAGAGAAGACTTTCTTTTTTATGTTTTAAAGGAAAGTGGAGTTTCATGGGGTATTCCCGTTCAGCTACTTTGCAAGTGGTTATTGTAGAAATGGTATGGCAGAAGACTTTGAATTGCTGTTTTACTAAAAGATAGTATTGTGGGAGCAGACTTCCAATTTACTTCAGAAACTTTCTTCCAAACAAATTGATACTGCTTTAGGTAAACTTTTTACTATTACAATAGTATTTTGCTTAATTAAAAAATTGTCATGTAATCTTATGCAAGGATAAACAGCTACACTGATTTTTTTTTTTTTTTATGTATATATTTTTGTAACTGATAGGAAAGGTATTCTGTAACTTACTAAGTCTTACCGTATGGCAAGATTATGTTGCCAGAAAGGAAGTTTAGTCAAGTTTTTCACCTGCTGCTTTGTAGAAATAACATAGGAGTCGCTCTTTCAGTGTGTTGGAGAGGAAATGAGGGAGAGCAGATTTTCTTCTCCCTTTGAGATAAGCCAGGAGTTCCCAATTGTTGAGGTCTGCTCGCCTGATGAGGCACACCGACAGTGGAGCGAAGGCGCGGAGCGGGGCACAAGCTGCAAAGCTCCGCTGGGATTCTAACTGCAGGTCTGTGCTGGCAGCGGTGGTGATAGCGAAGAGAGGTTTGTTCTAGAAAGGTCAAGGACAGCTGAGCTGAAGTGGAAAGAAGAACTAAAGCAAGTGTGCTAATACAGTTAAGAACAGATTCTGTGAATGAAATATAACAACCTCACACCGATTCATGGAGTCCAGAATCCATCTCACTGGATGCTTAACTATGAAGCTTTGTGCTGAAGTGAATACAGAGCAGCATGAGATATGCTGAGATGTCCTAGTGCAGTTTCAAAACTAATTCTGTTACATTATCGGAACATTACGTTGGCAATTTGCATGATTTTTATTTTGCAAATTGCAACACAGCATTTTAACCAACGCTTATTAAGCTTCCTTCAGAAAAATAGGGAAATACAGGAAGTAGAGAAAAGCACTTTTCTAGGGGCAGTGTGTAATCATGAGTGATCAATTACATGGTTTAATTAAAAAAAAAAAAAATCTTAAGGTTGGGTTTGACAAAACTGACTTAGATTCCAAAGTGGCTCTAGATCTGCACTCAGTTTGTATTCTTGTATTAAATACAAGAATGTCCTTAAGAAAGCTTCTAAAATTAGACAGATGTGCAAACAGCTTGACAAAGACTACTTTTAAATGATTTCCAGAATGCAGAAGAGTAGTTTTGTGCAAACAACTGAATGTTGTATAATGGGCGAATTCTGAGTTTTTCCTCATCTTTGGACAGCAGTGACCTTGTAGATTTGTGCATTTATTACTTAGTTAATAACTTCCTCGCTTGCTCACCTAGCTTGTCGCGCTTTTCTTGGAAGGCAGAGCGTTGAGTATCGGATGCTTTCTCCCCTCCTCTGTATTTGCCATTTGGTAAAATTGAAGGGCAGAAACAAGACTGAAAGCATTAAGTAACTGCAGCAATAGGATGAGAATTGGAAGAAAAAAACCAACCAACCAACCTGTTGTGGCTTACAAGTGCTGTATTATAGTCACATTATCAGCAGAAGAATAAGGTTA